ACCACCAATATAATCCTTAAAGCAACAGGAGTAGACATCAGATCACCTCAAGTTCCTTCACCTTGTCCAGTAAATTAATCCTGTGTTTACACTGTCTGGTAATCATTGTTTTTTTTTTTGTTTTGTTTTCCCCCAGGACTTTCTCATCTTTCTGGCTTCAGTTTCTTAAAACATTTAAGAGGGAAAAAAAATTCAATAGCCAGTTTAAAGTAGAAAATCAAAGGACGCCAAAGGAGGGACCCAGCACGGCGAGGAACCTACAGGTCCCTGCCCCATCCTGGTGGCAGCAGTAGGCATGACCTGGGCCACCCCCAATGTGGGTAGACCCCCGCCCACCTTTTCTCCTCCTGCAGGGCAGGGCAGCGCCCAGCCAGAGCTGCAGTGGGTTAGGTCCCAACCAGGCCCTCCCAGCCAAGTCACGAGGACATATTTTGTTCTGAGCCTTTTCAAGAAAACAAACACAGGACTAATCATCTGTCCTAGCTGCAGCCTCCTTATTGCTCAGGTTTAGGCCTGGATGAAGAACACAAAACAAAGATCGCCTTGAATGTCTTCCAGGCAGCAGGAAGGCAAGAAGACAGCCATATTCTTCTCCCTTTATTTAATACCTCCCTTTCTTTGAAGTAAAAGAGAAGAGTGAGGTATGAGGTCATAGCCATTAAGATCTCAGGCTTTGGAGGGAAAATGATCCGGGTTCTAATCCCTTCTTCTGCCCTTAATCTCTTAACAATCACTTAATAACACAAGTGCCTTAACTGCACTGCACCTCTGTTTCTCATCCGTAAAACGCCACTGACCGCTGTGTTGTTTTAAGGATTAAATGAGATACAGTAGGGCAAAGAGCTCAGCTTGGCGCCTGGCACAGAGTAAGGCAATCAACAGTAGCTATAATTATAATTATAAACTCATTGTAAGAAAATTCATCAAAAAGATGAGCACAAAGAATAAAATTATCCCACCACTCAGTGTAATGAGAGTTAATATTCCCAATGATTTTCCTCCTCCTGTATTCTATGTACATACAAGCTGATTTAATTTACATAAATGTCACTTCCTGCCTTTTTCATTTAATATTACATTGTGAGCACATTCCAATGGTCTCAACTGTTCTTGACAAATGTGATCTGGTATCTTATGTCTCCACCAGAATGGTTTTCCATTTTTTTGTTGTATTTGTTGTATTTAAATGATGTGCCATCAATATCCCCCTGATATACAAATTTTTAGCCACATCTCTGATTATTTCCTTAAAATGAAATGGGACTTTCTGGCTCGAAGGGCATGAACTTCAGGACTCTGCGCACCTCTTGAGAGCCAAACCAAAGCAAAAAAATGAGACCAGTGACCACCGTGCACTTGAGTGTCTATCCCCCACCTCACTCGTACCACATTCCCTTTTCTTTTCATTACTGCCAACCTGAAATGCAAAAATTGATCAAGACCCATTTTCAAATGCAAGAGCCCTGTATGGAGCAAACCATGTAAATCAGAAACATTTCCACCTTCCGGTTTCTGTGCTGTGGCCCTGAACACCCAAGACACAAATCCTCAGGTGGCCTGCCACTGTACCTTCCCTGACGGTCCCCTTGGCACACCATTTCTTCCTTATGGCTACACAAATCAGTGGGTATGAGATGATATGAAGCCATCTCACTTCCTCAGTACTGCATGGATTTTTTGCCATGATGTATTTTCAGGGAAAACCAACAAAGACGGTTGCTTTTAGAGCACGGGGTGCGGACACCCTCCAGCTTTGTCCTTGCTGTCATCTCACGACAACAATGCCGTGACAGCTTCCACGGCTGCAGCTCCCCCTGGCTCCCATCAGCAGGTGGGAGGTGGGCGGGGCGTGCAGTCCTCTCCCCGCACACGGCCCTCGCTGCCAGACTCAGCCATCATGTGCCCCCGGCGCCACCCCACCGCCCCAAGCCTGTGCCCGCGGATACTTACAGCCGCTCCAGCTCCTTCATGTCGTCGAAAGCCCCCCGCTCCACCACTCCAATCTGGTTCTCCATCAGCTGCCTGGGGAGGCAAAGAGACAGGACAGCTGCAGGGTGTTGGACAGGAACTCTCAGCAGCAGATGGCACAAGGGAGTGAAACAGGAGCAGGGCCGGAGATACACGCAGACCCGCGTTCCGGCCCGAGTGGACAAAACTGCCTCACAAGCTTGCAAATTCCCGACCGGGCTGGCGGGCACGCTCAGCCCCGGCAGCAAGATGCACTTCCAGCCCCCGAGCCCATGCCGAGACCTCTGAAGCGGCCACCGTGGTCACAGGATCCCAGAGCACCAGGCCACGGCTCCAAAGACATCCTCGTCTTGGGAAGCTGGGACCCAGGCAGCAGGGGTCAATGCCAGGCTGCTGACGCATGTGCCCTCCTTCAGCCCAGAGGGCACATGTCCAAGCGGCAGAGCAGGGGGATGGGCCGGTAGCAGGGGGCGGGGAGCCTGTGCCAACTGGGCAAAGCCCACACGTGCAGCAAACACACTGCAGTTGGCAGCCAGCACCCCTCTGCCCGCACTCCTACACCGCCTGGCCCCATCTGCTGCCCACTCGACCACCTGGCTCCACGAGACTGCACCTCCTCACCACCAACGCGCCCTACAGCCCAGAACATCCGGCTGGCAGGCAGTTTGCTTGTTGCGTGGGAATTTTGGAGACCGTCGAGTAGATTTTTCTCCCTGTGGTTTTTCTCCTGTCCACTCTCAAGCGGGTGGCTCGAGGTCTCACACGGACCTCAGAGGAGGTTTGGGGATGGGACAGGGGCAGAAGCTGCCACCACACACTTCTCTTCTTCCACCTTGTTTCCAAAAGCCCAAGCTGTTGAGGAGCTCGTGCTGGAGGCCTGGGTGGGTGGGGGGTGACAGGAGGGAAGGAGGGTTTTCCTGTACTCAGAAGAGATTCCTGGAGCCTGGGGAGGAGTCAAAGATCAGGGGGTTCTGGAGCAGAAGAGACCCCTGCCCAGCAACTGACAGCTATGACCCCAGGGAAGATGGAGACCACAAGGTCCCCAGACCCACCCAAGACCCTCAGAACTGCAAAGTAGTTCTGAAAGAACAGAGGCCCCAGGACCCGTGCACTACCCTGACAGTAGGGGGTGAGGACCCTATGACTGTCTGATGTTGAATGTGTCAGAATGCATGCATGTGTCTGAGAGGAGTAGAGCAGGAAGCGATGAAGGGATCCACCCTTTCCCCTCCTCACTCCTCAGTCCTCACTCCTCACCCCTGCCCAGCCCAACAAGGGAAATGCTGTGGACGGCTCCTTTGCTGGCTAGTGGTCAACGCCAATAGAGCCACACCGATCACCTCCAGTATCTGCCTCTGTCAGGCACCCAAGGGGGGTCACCTCTATCCTCAACTGCCCCCACTCATCTACCGTCTCAAGTCAGGGGTAGCCTTGCCGGAGAGTCTTTCTGAGGCACAGAGTCAAAAGAACTATGGAGAATGTTATAGGCTGAAATACATCCCCCAAAATTCATACACTGAGGCCCTAACCCCCAACGTGATTTGGAGATGGAGCCTTTAGGGAGGTTATTAAGGTTAAATGAGGTCATAAGGGTAGGGCCCTAATCTGGTAGGACTGGTCTCCTTATAAGACGAGAAAAAGACACCAAAGATCTCTCTCTGTGCACACACAGAGGAAAGGCCATATGAGGACACAGCAAGAAGGTGGCCAAGAAGACAAGCCTCACTACAAACAACCTTGATGGCACCTTGATCATAGACTTCCTCAAGAACTGTGAGAAAGTAAATTTCTGTTTTTTAAGCTACCCCGTCTGTGGGTGTTTTGTTATGGCAGCCCCAGCAGGCTAAGTCAGAGACCTAAAGGTTCCTCATGGTTGCCCGGTCTTCCCTCATTCCAGGATACAACCAACAGACAAGACGCCCCATCTGTCCGGCCCAGACCCTGCCAGGCAGCGACCACTGGTGCCTATGCTGAGCCCAAGTGCTCAGCCGTGTGCAAGACAGTGGCTGCTCGGGGGAAGGACTCACTGGCCCTTCCACTCCACCCCCCTCAGGGCATCCAGGGTCTCTGGCCCACAACCCTACAACCCACAGCCAGGACTCTGCTCAGGAGCCACAGGGCCACTGCCAAGGGTAGGGGCAGAAGGGAGGTTACTCACAGCACCCGCAGCTGCTTGAGTCCCACAAAGTCATTTTTATGGATCCGAGTGATGTTGTTGCCGTTGAGTTCCCTGGTGGAGGCAAGGAGAGAATGAAATGGGTGAGATGCCCAGGGAGGCCCCCAGGCCAGGGCTCAGCTCCACGCTCCCTCTCCACCTGTCTCCAGCCTGTCCTCTCATCAATGGGGCTGGGTGCTTCCCAGCCAAGCCCCGGGACCCCCAAGTCTATGCCAAGGCCCAACAAGCTAAGGCCCATCTTTGCAGCTGATGTGAGGCCAGGGAAACGCACAGGGCACAGGCTCGCTGCTGGAAGAGCCGTGGAAGCCAAAGTCATGGCTTTTGCCCAGAAAGACCTCAGGCTCATTGGAGAGACAAGACATTCACGCAGGGAAGAACTTGGAAACTAGACAGTTGGAGGCTATTCAGGTGGAATCCTCACTGAGCCTCAGTTTCCTCATCTATGAAGCGGGGATAATAACTGTGACTAGCTCATCAGGTTAGCATGGGGCATAAACAAGTAAAGAGCATGGCCTGTGCTTGAAAGGGGCCCCCTTGCAGACACCCATGCCATTATCTGGTGGCACTGGCTCCTACAGGCTGTTGTGAGGAGACAGCAGGGTGGGCCATGCATTTTAAGGAGATTGAGTACACGGGGCCCAAGATGAGACCTAAAAGACAAGGCAGGTGTGCACAGTGAGAGGGACAGAGTGGACATTCTGGGAAAGGGGAGCGGCCCTTTGCCTGGGGAATGAGGGAGGAGACAGGCTGGGAGTCAGGAGCTGTGGGAAACGGGGTTGGGGGATGGGAGTCCGGATCACAGAGGGCCTGAAAAAGCAAGCAGAGGAAGACAGGGAGCCTGGAAGGCCCACAGGCAGGAGCCTGCCACAAGGTCCATCTTGCATCGAGGAGAAGGAGGGTAGGGCCGAGGACAGGGGTGCCCACTGTCTGGAGCAGGGCCAGGCCTGAACTGCAGTGGCTCCTCTCCCCACACCACCCCAGCCTCTGGCCCTTCCTTCCCTTCCAAGGCTACTGTGTTCTTCCTCAGCCCTCCCCAACCATGACCCGGGCACCTTGGCCATGAACCCCACCTTAGAGGCCATCTGACCCCTGCCGAGCCTCTGCCAGGCCACTTCTCTTCACAGGGAGCTAGCACAGCCTCAGAAAAGCAGGTCCTTCCAGGAGGCAGCTACCGCACTCCCCAGAACGTTCTTCCACTGAGCCACACACGGCAGAATCTCAACCAGGCCTAGCCTCAACCACCTCCACATCTAATCTATCTCCCTGTGGCAGCCCTGTGGCCACAACCACGCCACCTCCTCCTCTTTCTCACCGCGTCAGAGTCACTCACGTGCTTGGCAACAAGCTAACTACCCCCATCCCAACGCACATGCGCGCACACACACACATACCATATTCCCCTGCAGCCCAGCCTCCTCGCCTACCAACACCCATCAGCCCAAATCCAAGCTACTTTGAAAATCGGCAAGCTCCCTCTCCTCTAAGCGTTTAGGAAGCGTGTTTGGCCTAGATGATGTTCTAGAGCTGCATCTGCTAAGAACAACGTATGTTATTAGTTTCTACACACTCCAGAAACTGGGCTCTGTGTACATCCTCCCGCAGGGCTGGAAAGTAGTTACGGTGCCTGTCTTACAGACGAGGAAACTGAATTGCCGCTCAGAGAGGTCAGGTGTCTCCCGGAGGGCACCAGCTGGTAAATGACAGACCAGAGATCTGGACACGGCCGTCTGATCCTAGGGCCTAGGCTTCTTCCACCAGGCCAGGCCCGTGACAAGCTGATAACTCATTCAACCCATCACTCTCTCCACCCTTCCCCTGAGCCTGGCTCCTGATCCTGAGGAGCAGCTGGAAAGACTCATTCCCTGCTCTTCTCTCTTCTATCAGGATCTCTCAGAGGGGCTTGAGGCCTCTCCAAGGTAATGGGGCCCCTGACGATTGGCCCAGACAGAGCCACTTCCTGGCCTAGACACTGCAAGGGGGCCCTCTCTACGTGAGATGGGCTCTTTTCCACGTGAGGGTTTTTATTGAACCAAATATCCTTCCCTGACACCTTGGAGCCTCACCTGTGCACCCCAAACTGCTCCTCCTGGGCACAACTGCACCTCAAGCATCGAGAACCTCGTCAACAAGCCCTGAAAATTGGTTCTCTACGCAAGCGTGGCTGGTTTCCTTTGGTCCATCCTGCTGAAACCTTCATCCCCAAACCCCAAACCACAAGGAATTTTTAACTGTTTTAATTTTTTTATTATAAAGATATTTCAGTACTGATTATAAAGCAAAAATGTTAAAAAATGGACATCAACAAAGCAATGTTTAAATTTAAAAAAATTTATATTTATTTATTTTTGAGAGACAGAAAGACAGAGCACAAGGGGGCAGGGGAGAGAGGGAAGGAGACACAGAATCCGAAGCAGGATCCAGGCTCTGAGCTGTCAGCACAGAGCCCGACACAGGGCTTGAACTCACGAACTATGAGACCGTGACAAAGCCGGACACTTAACCAACTGAGCCACCCAGGCACCCCTTAAAATTTTTTTTAACGTTTATTTATTTTTGAGAGAGACAGAGAGAGAGAGAGACAGCAAGCAGGGGAGGGGCAGAGAGAGAGGGAGACACAGAACCCAAAGCAGTTTCCAGGCCGTCAGAACAGAGCCCAAAGTGGGGCTAGAACCCACGCACCTGAGATCATGACCTGAATCGAAGTCCAAGGCTTAACCCACTGAGCCACCCAGGACCCCCGACAAAGCAACATTTAGTTGACTTTCCAGCACATCTGTGAAACCAAGTACTATGTAGCCATTTAAAAGGGTACAGATCAGTTTGTACTGACAGGGAAAGATGTCCAGGATACAGAACGGGTAAGACGGTTACAAGACAGCTTGTATTCTGCGAGCTGCTCATGTAAAACCACACACAAGTCATCCCAGTATGCGGGCAGAGCGAGCTCACTGGGGCTTATAGTAATGCCACATATTAATACCTATAACTGCTCAGTGGTGGGAACTGAGGTGACTTTAGTCTCTTTTATACTTTTCTGCACTGTTTGGATTTTTAAAGTACATCTATATTTTTATAAGCCAACATAATATTCAAGTTATTGCACTGAAAAATAAGAGTAACACAGAGGCGCCTGGGTGGCTCAGTTGGTTTAGCCCCTGACTCTTGATTTCAGCTCAGGTCATGATATCACCGTTCATGAGCTCCAGCCCCATGTTGGGCTGTGCACTAACAGTGCAGAGCCTGCTTGGGATTCTGTCTCCCTCTCTGTCCCTCCCCTGCTTGCTCTCTCTCTCTCTCAAAATAAATAAAAATAAACTTAAAAAATAATAATAACAGGGGTGCATGGGTGCCTTGGTTGGTTAAGGGTCTGACTTCGGCTCGGGTCACAATCTCACAGCTTTGTGGTTCAAGCCCTGCATCAGGCTCTGTGCTTACAGCGCAGAGCCTGGAACCTGCTTCAGATCCTGTGTCTCCCTCTCTCTCTGTGTCCCTTTCCCACTCATGCTCCCTCTCTCTCTCTCTCAAAAACAAAACATTAAAAAAAATTTTTAAATCATAAGAGTAATACATGCACATTGTTATGTTTTCCGTTTTCTGAAGAATAAAGAAAAAAATTAAAATCACACATAAATCCATCACCCAGAATTAACCTCTGTTAACATTCTAGAAGTTTCTCCCAAGCCTGTTTTCTTCGGATACAATTTTTATATAGTTGAAATAATTCAACAAATATTTATTGAAGATTTACTGCTGGCAAAGCATTTTACAAGGGGATGGGTGAGACAGAAGTGGTACGCGCGCCTTCTGCCATGTTACACCCTGTTCATTCCCCCACTGATGATTTCTGACGGGCCAGCACTTATCCCTGCATCTGGATGCATCAAGTTACTGGGGCATTCCCCGACCCCGCCCCCCGGCCCCCCCCCCCAGTTCAATGATAAACACCGCATAAAGTTTGGTGGGCATTTGGGAGGAATACATCCCTGGAGACAAAATCATTCAGTCAAAAGTCATGAAAAAGCTGATGAATGTTACAATAACTGGCTCATTCTTTCTCGTGGCAACCATGGTTTATTTATAAGGCAATTGACTTCAACAATTGTTCATTTCACAGACAGCAAAGCTGAGGCAAAGGAAAATGTTAGGGCTTGTCTGAACAAGGCCCAACAGGGAAGTCAGGAACCCCTGCGGTGGGCCGGGGGGGGTGGGCACGGAGCACTCACAGGGACTTCTGGTGACGTATCATACTCACATGCCTCTCTTCTTACCCTGTTGCACCAGCCCCTGCGCAGACCCCCGGACCCCTTCCTTAGCCCACCATCAGGCGACTCCACCCCCTCCTCCTCACTTCCTGCTCCCCACTCCACCCCCACGCAAGAAAAGACCTGAGACAGGCAGGCGGAAGAAACAACAGTGCAGACGACGAGGCAAATACAGCTTCTCTCTCAGGAGGCCCTGCTGGTGGCTTCCAGACAAGAATGCCCATGGACACTCAAGCCCCCTCCCCACCCCAGCCCCCACCCCAGCCCCCTGCCTCCCTCTCCAGCTCTCTTACCCGGAGCTAAGTGCCTCCTCTCAGGGGAGAGCCCTCTACAGGCAGCCTGGGAGGCAGAGGCAGCTCTCATCCGGCACCCAGGTCTGAGGGCTGCTGCTTAACGAGGCATTATCAGCACTTAGGCCATTTAGGCCGAGAGAATGACCTCCACGGGGTAGCTCAGGGCAGCCAGGATTAAGTTTCCAACGTGGGCCAACCACTTCCCCTCAAACCTTCGGCCGAGGCTGCTGGAATGAGGCAAGGAGGTCATTTTTCTCCAGCGCCTGACTCCTCCAACAGGTGGTCCTTCGGTGTCACCATGGAGACGCCCTCCCCAGCAAGCCACCTGGGAAAGAGAAGCTGGGAGAGGCTGCTGTGACCTTCCGACCTTTGCAGCCACAGCAGCCAGGCGGGTGGGGAGCCTCCAGGGCGGCTCCCAGCCTGGTTTCCAGGAAGAACCCGGATCCAGAGCTACCCAGGCTCCCTGAGGTTCTCGCCGCCAGGGCCCCACATCCACCAC